CGCATCCTGAGGGCAGAGTGGACCTCCCGTGCTCTGCAGCTGAATCCCGTCTCCCTTCCCGCTGAAGGCAGCAAGCGCAAGGATCTCAGGAAGGAATTCCGAGTTTTTTCCGCTCCTCAGGATTCCTTACAGGGAATTGAATCTTTTGCCCCCTCTTAGAAATTCCTGCTCCAGACTGCCCGTTTCTCCGGGAGTGTGGTCCCGGAGGGTGACGGGAAGGCCGCCTGCAGCCGCGATCGCTTGTGCCCCGTCGCCATGCGGGCGGGCGGGTCTGACCGCCGGGGCGACGCCACTGTTGATCCGGCTCCGGAGACGAGCGGGGGTGCGAGCGGGCCTTCGCGGGTGTGAATGCAGTCGGATCGGCCAGGTACCGGACCTCGACCCACACTGTGCGCGGGCTCTCCCTGCGTCTATTTCGAGTGCACCGCCACTTTCCAAGACCGCCCGTGAACTGTTCTCACACCAGTGCGATAGACGAGAGGGTTCGATGAGGCTGGGCGGCGTTCCCCCCGGAGCCCTGTAGGACTGCTTCTGATACCACTGGCCTCGAGGGAGTCTGTGCTCGTGTCTGCAGCCTGTGGGTAATCAAAAGCCCCTTCACCTCGTCTCCTTTCTTCCCGATTTAAATCAGAACGTTGACTCTGTCGTAGAAACCTGCCTCGATTTCTTCATGTTCAGAGTCCTTCGGCCCGATTCAGGGACACTTGGTTATTTTTTTTAACTGGAAGCGAAAGATGGGTTGCCTTTGAAGAAGGCAGGATCTCCCGCTGGTCAGATTGTCACTGGATCACTGTCCGTGAAGAAGCGCTGTTGTGCTTTCAAAGGTTGGGCCTCGGAGGAGTACCCTGCATTTCCCTTCTTCCTGGCTATGAAAATACGTGAAAAACACACGTATAGCTACTGTGCGTGTCTTTGGACTTTTCTTAGTTCTTGGAGAGTGTTCCGGGTGTGCTTACCACGTATTTAGCACACTGTGCTGTTCTCGTATGTTTCTCAGCAGCGTAGTTGAGCCTCGGTCATGTCTTCAGCACTCTGGACTCCGGTTTCCTAAGATTTCCCTTAGTTCCGCACACCTAAGCACTGTACTGTTCCGCAGGTGCGCCCAAGAGCTTTAAGCATCTCGGCGTCCCCATCTGCGGTTCTGAACCTCTCTTAGGCTCTGCATATCAAATCCCACAGCTTTGGATCAGAAGTCCTCAGGACCTGAGGCTAAGTGGCTCTGAAAGGACCACGACGCTCTGTGCCGCTGCGTGAGGGCGCCGGGGGACCCTGCGTGTGATAGAGGGGTCGCGCCGCGGATAGTCCGGCCCCATTCGGCACGCGGCTTCCCGGCTGGAAAACGGCGCACGAGCCGGGGAAGCACGACGCCTCGCACTGGCGCTGCCTGCCCGTCTCCGGACTCGTCCACTCCGCCTCTTCTCGTTGTTCACCTCCAGCGAAGGGCTCTGCCCCCGAGCTCCCCCTCTCCGGTCCCAGTTCCTTTGCGTTGGGGAAACCGGGACCTAAATCCCGCCCCTTGGGTTTCCAGACAGCTGGGAAGGGCCACCACCGCCAGCGGGGACGTGCCAGGGCTCGAGCAGCACTCGGAGCGCTAGGAAACCCGATCGATTTTCAAAAAGTAAGTTTTCTTTTCATGTATATAGATATCCACTTATGTATATATGTCAAAAGAAAACTTACTTTTTCCAAATTGTAGACCGGCCGGAGGCTCTAGGACAAGGTCTCAGTGAACGCGTTACAGCGTCGCCGTGATCCTACGCAAAGAGAGACTTGATTCTCCGAAGTGCTTGACGGCAGAGATTTTTAATTTGTTTTTTAGCTTGTCTAGTAAGAGAGCTGGCCCCGTACACTAAGGAAAAGCCACACGTGCGGATCGGCCTCCGGGCTCCAAGAGCCGTTCCAGAGCCGATAGCCTAGGGACCTCGCCTGTCTCTGCCCGCCTTCCCTCCTCCTCGCGACTCCGGAGGGGGCGGACGGGTCGCCCTTCGTCTACCTCCCCTCGGCCCTGTGTCCTTCGGGCTCCGTTGACCCCTTTCCCCACCAGATTCTCCGAAGCCTTTCCGTTAATCTTCCGAGGCCCCAAAGCGTTCGCGATAATTGCGTCTCTTTTAAAAAAAGGTCCGTTGTACTTCAATTGGCCGTAAACATCCGCGTCACTTCAGAGGGTTCCTCGCCTGGGCCTTGTGTCCTGTGTCCGGAACACGTTTCTCAGATTCGAGCCCCTTATCCCTCACTCCAGGCTGCAGGGACTCAGTCCTCCCGGTGGAGCCTGGAGCGACTGTTGTCCAGAGCATGGTAAGAAAAGGTGGATGAAGCCCAGTGTGCTCTTTCTCTGAACACTGAAGGATAGACGAGCCTTCAGTTCAAACATACTGCACAGTCGCTATTTCCCAAAACGTTGAAAACCCAAACTCTGTAAAGCACGCTGCCACCGTCTCGTTTGGGTTCTACCCTTTCACCTTCCGGCTGGGTAGGAGAGATTTTTCTTTCGGAAAAAGACCGTAAGAAAATTAGTGCGCTACGTTCAGTTTTGTGGTCCATCCTGCCTTTCAAGTCGAAACGGCAAAACCCTTTCTTGAGAGAACAGACATAACGGGAAGAGATGATCCCTTAAGGCTTGCTAACTCCTCTCTCAAGTAATGCGCTGTTAACGGCTAGACCTGGTCGTAGTTGAGCTGCCTTTGACGGCAACATCACACACTGCTTGCTCTACACTTCAAGTGTTTTTGTTCGTTTGGCTTGGTAATCTTTTAGTAGTTGGATGGACTTTCAGGCAGCCCTGTAATGTGCTGCGTGGTAGTGGGAGTTTTAGGAAGGCCGGATAGGTGCTGTGCTTGTTAACGACAAGCAGAGGGGTCTTAGCCTGGACCAGTGCAGACAGCTGGGCTCCAGACTGCAGGGAAATTAAAGCACAGGCACTTGAAAAAGAGATTTCTTATTTTAGAGTGTATATATCTTATTTAAAAATCTGGTTGACTTGTAACCTTTTACGCACCAAAACCGCAAGGAGAGAAGCCATATTTTCAAAAGTAGTTTGCTTTTTCTTTTAAAAAAAAATACACCTATTGAACATATATTTTTGTATCACAGCCTATCTCTACCAACATATACTTTTTTTTAAAAAGATATTAAAACTGGCGGTTTTGTTGCATCAGTTTCCATTTGATATATGCAGAAACCATAAGCCTCTCGTGAGTTCTTCCTGTGCGTTTCTTGTTCATAAGTCAGGTACATCCTACAAATAAAAAATAAATAGGTTCACCCCTACTGCATCTTCTGTTTGCACGTCTACAAGGAGATTATAAATTGGTCTTCACTGCTTTATTAGGGAGTTTTTTTACCACCACAATCTGTTCTTCTGTAAAAAGTCTCATTTTGGGAAACCTGTCACTTGACACAAATCACATTTTCATTTTGTCAGTGCACCTTTTCCAAAAAAACTCCCATATTCTGGTCGAACTTCAGTGCATTTTCTCTGTAGTTAACCGACTGAATCCAGATCAGGTCTCTCATTGCAGCAGAGCGGCTGTCGGTCTGTCCTGGCCTCCTTTACGATACACAAATTAAGGTTTTCTTTCTTTGGTTCCAAAGACGAACGAAAGCAAGTTGCTGGGTGGACTCCAGTTGTATTAAAGGAAAGCAGTCCACTGTTGTGCTGTGCGCGGGACGTTCCAGAAGTATCGCCCCTTCCCATCTCTCCCTAGTTCAGCGAACCTCTCCCTGACACCTCTTCTGCCTTGAGCCTCTCGTTCCCAGATTGCCTGGTACGCTCCTCCCGTTTTTTAACCCTCCCCTCCTGACGGGCTTCTTTGCTCCTGTTTCCTGCCAAGGAATCTCACGCCACGGACTCTACAATACCTCTGAAAACTTGGGAACGCCTCTCTCCTTGGGCCTGTGAATTTTCTCCCTCCCCCTCGTCTTGACAGCAAGTTTCTCTCTGTGCTCCCTGGGACTGGTGCTCTCTCTTCTTCCTCCTCCTCCTCCTCCTCCTCGCTCCCTGCTTCTGGGCTATGTTGACCCCTGGGGGCTCCCCCTGTCCTGCGAGAAGCCAGCGCCCGCCCGCCCGTCTCTGACGAACGCCTGCTCAGCGTGTCCTCTCTCCCTTTCCCTCTCTCTCCCCGCTCCTCCCCCCGCCTCTGCTCAGGAGAGCCAGGCCCTTCCACCTCTCTCTCTTTCCCAGCGGCAGTATGCCCAGCGTCAACAAGTCCCCCGGCGGGGCTGGCTCCTCCTCGTCCGCGAGCCTCAAGCCCAGCAAGTACATCCCGGTGTCAGCCGCCACGACCTTCCTGGTGGGCTCCACCACCCTCTTCTTCGCCTTCACGTGAGTCTCCCTCGGCCTCCGGCCTGCGCCTGTCCTTCTCCTGGGTGTGAGTGTGTGTCTTCCTCCCCGGCTGCTTCTCTTCCGGGTCTGAACTGGAGCGTGTATCCGTGTCTGTGTGTGTTCCTCTTGTGGGCTGTCTGGATACTGGTATACCAGTTCACCTGCGTGCATGTCGGACCCACTCGATGTTAGACATCACTAGTGCTATTGCTGCCTCCTGCCTTTTGCAGTTGGAGCTGAGTGTTTCTTCTCTCTTACTTAGCCGTTTTAATTTTCTAATGTTTTCTTAATTGGTGAACAATAGAAGTGTATGCTTGTGTGGTACAGAGGAAAGAGCTAATTTTACGGTATTAACCC